CCTCCGCCTGCGGCACAGGCACACCGGGTTCTAGTCCCGGCGGGATTCTGTCCCGGTTGCCCCTCTTCCAGGCCAGCTCTCTGCTGTGGCCCGGGAAGGCAGTGGAGGATGGCCCAAGTACTTGGGCCCTGCACCCACATAGGAGACCAGGAGAAGCACCTGGCTCCTGGCTTCGGACCAGTACAGTGTGCTGGCCACAGCGCTCTGACCGCAGCGGCCATTGGAGGGTGAACCAACGGAAAAGGAAGACCTTTCTCTCTGTCTCTCTCACTGTCCACTCTGCCTGCTAAAAAGAAAATTCATTTTTAAAATTTGTATTTACATTATATTTCATAGTTCCTAAAATACTTTTAATGTTTAAGCTAGTTATCACCTAAAAACTATACATATTTAATAAAAGAAATTAGTAAGAACTCTTTTTTCTTTTTAAAGATTTATTTATTTATTTGAAAGGCAGAGTTACAGAGAGGCAGAGGCAGAGAGAAAGGTCTTTCATCTGCTGGTTCACTCCTCCAGATGGCTACAACGTCTGGAGCTGTGCCGATCTGAAGCCAGGAGCTTCTTCTGGGTCTTCCAAGTGGGTACAGGGACCCAAGGACTTGAGCCATCTTCTACTGCTTTCCCAGGCCATAGCTGAGCGCTGGATCGGAAGTGGAGCAGCGGAGACTCGAATCAGCACCATATGGGATGCCAGTACCGCCGGCGGCGGCTCTACCTGCTACGCCACAGCGCTGGCCCTGTGGGACCTCTTTAAGCAACAGACTTTACTTGTTAGCATAAAGTATAGTAGCATGAAAACTGTTAGCTTTTGACTTTGATATATTTTATATTTGAATTGAATTTTAAATGTGATATTTCATCAAGATAACCGCAATTTATTAAATGGATGTGCCCCAACTTATGTAAGCACTTAGAAGTATTTAAATTTGGGGGCCAGTGTTGGGGCTCAGCAGGTTAAGCCTCCACTGACAAGGCCAGCATTCCATATTGGAGTGCTGACAGGAGGTCCTTCACTGCTGATCCAGCTTCCTGCTAATGCAAGTGGATGAGTACCAAGTGCCTGGTCCCCTGTGATCCACATGGGAGACCCAGATGGAGCTCCTGGCTCCCAGCTTCAGACTCGGCTGCTGTGGCCATCTGAGGAGTGAGATAACCAGCACAGGGAAGATCTCTCTCTCTCTCTCTATTTGATGTTCTGCCTTTCAAGTAAGTAAATCTTTTTTTTAAAAAAAGTATTAAAGCTTTATCGATATTTCAGCTGAGAAAACTGAAGGCACGGAGAGGTTAGGTAACCAGAAGAAAGTCACCGGCTGCGTGAGCAAACCCAGTCTTTGCCGTTAAGCACCTGTGGCAGATTCCAAAAAACGGACGTGAAGGTTGGATTCCCGTGAAACCTGTAACTGGGAAGCACACCAATTTTCTACACTTTCTGGAAACCGGTTTTTATGGCATAAAATGATTTACTGCAGCACTGTGGCTTAAATGTATGTTTTGAGTGTCTAGGCCAACACTTTGCTGGAAGTCGTCTTTCCTGCTTATCTAAACCTAGGGCAGTCTGTGCCCAGGAGAGGCCCCATCTTTCCAACACTATCCAAACTCACAGAAATCATTAGGGTGTAGTGCTTGTGGCTCCTAATTTATAAATTCAGGGACCACTAAGTGATGAGATTGACTTCACAAGTAATATAGCTTAAAAAACTGGCTGCACCACTCATCCACTCAGCAAATGCTTCCTTGAGGTCCTCCAGGCACTATTTCAAGCACTGGGGATACCAAGTTGAACTTCTGTCTGCAATTCTGGAATGTATATTATAGGTACAATTACCTATCTTCAAAGTCAAGACCACTAGATTTGTATCAGCAGCCAAAGGTATAAAGCTCATTCTGTCACTTGAAAAACTCGCTATCGGAGTCAGGAGATGCCCAGGGAGGAAGCATGGCAGACGACAGTGGTTCTCCAACCTTCTTGTGTGGGAGAAATTCCTGGAGAACTTGCGGAAGATAATGATTCGTCTGGTTCTGTGGCACAGTGACAAGAAACCTGTATGTTACCAAGCACTTCAGCTAATGCTGATGGTAAGTGACAGTGATCTGAGGTCCAGACTTCGAGACATCCAATCAGTAAGTGGAGCAGTTCAGCAGGCAATGACCATTCAAAACAGAACAGCCTGGGGCAGTGGAGTTTGAACTGAGTGATGTAAACACAATCCCCAGGAAACCCTTGCCTGTAACTCATAAATTTAGCAAATTCAGATGAATATGAATAGAGGAATTTACCAGCTCCTCCCACTTAATCCCTTACAGGAACTCGGAGTTTGCCTGGATTAAGCATTTGAGGAAAACAAACTTAAGGAAGCACTAAGAAAAAGGAAATTGCCAGTTAACTGCAAAGAAAAGAGACGAAAGCAAGCAAGCAAGCTAAGAGGGGCAAATATTTCCCAGAACTAACTTTTGCTAGCACTCATTTTATGCCCTATTTCACAATGCTTAGTGTCGGACAATCCACGGGGTTCCAAAGTACATTAAAAATGTGTTCATTTCCTCTCCTACTCGGGCAGAATAATAATAGATCTTTGTGGAGGTATCATGCTATCATGCTCTCCAGCGATTCCATCCGACACAATCTCAGATAAAGAAACACCATATTTTTAACTGTACCATCAGAAGCCCTCCTTTCTGGGCTACTTCTAAGCGTCTGAAACATTTTAAACACTATCACGGAATTAGTACCCTTCATTTCTTAATTCAGTACCCTTATAAGTTCCTGGGTTTCATTCCAAAATCTCCTGCAGAATCTCTCTCTCTCTCTCTCTGTAATGTTATAAGCACTCATTAGAACGACATGTCACGAGCAAACTAGGAGACATTTTTAAAGCAAAAGCAGTATTTTGTTCTCAGAGATGGACCAGTAGAAGCAATAACGATGAAGGGTATTTGAAAAGTCATCTAAAAATAAAGGCATCCCAGCAAACGCATTCCTGCCCTGTGGGGGCTCCGGGTGGCATCGCGCAACCCCGCTGGCCTGCGGGCTGCCGGCTGCGGCTCCTGCCCCTCGGTAATCCAGGCGATCCCCGAGCCTTTCTGTCCATCCGTCCAGCGGGATTAGTCAGACCGCCTCTCCGCTGACAGAGCTGAGGCTTTCCAGACGCATCTGCGCGCACGGCGTCTGCTGGCATTGTGCACACTTTTCAATGGGTCTGTTTCCACGCTCCGTGCGCCTGGACCGCGGAACGCGCACGGATGCCGGCAGCGGAGCACAAAGGGCGGCTTCTGGCCGGCTCTGCCGCCCCGATCGGCACCGCGGATGGCAAAGTTGGAAAGAAACTTTCCCATGGACGAGGCTCTCAGGAATGCCCGCGGCCCCAAGCTCCGCCGAGAAGCCGCCCACCTCCCTCCCCAGGAGCCAAGCCCCGTTCGCTCCGCGTCCCAACAAAAGACTGCCCGCAGGACGCGCAATCCACGAAGTTGGCAGACGGAGTGAAAGGACGGCGCGCCCATCCCTCGCGGGGCCAAGCAAAAGCCACCGCCGTGGGGCCTGGGGTCCACGCCACAAAGCCCCGTCGGTGCGAGGGGACGCGCGGACCCCGGGGACGCGCCCGCCCGGGAGCCCGCAGCGGCGGCCCCGCCGCTCGCCCAGGGCCGGGCGGCATCGCCTGCCCTTCACTGACAGGGTCTCGTCCGCACGCCGGAGAGGAGAGGGGCGAGCCCGGGCTCGAGGCCCCGGCACGGGCGGGCGGCGCACGCCGCTCCCTGCCAGCTCGGGGGCTCGGCGAGCCTGGCCCTGCCCGGCAGCCGAGGGCAGCGAGGTCAGCCCCGGGAGCATCGCGCGCCCGCGACGCCCCTGGCCAGGGAGGGAGCCCGCCCGCCGGGCGGCCCCGAGCCCGTCCCCCGGCCGCTAGCGGCGCCCCGGCCTCCCGGCTTCGGGCAGCCGGCCGGCCCTCAGGACGAGGCAAGGACCGAGCGAGGGGCGGCCGCCGGCGCGCGGCCGAGGGCGAAGGGCGGCCCGGGGGGACGCGGGACGGGCGCCCCGGGCGGCCATCGCGCCGACCCTCACGCCGACCCCCGCCCCCGCCGCCGCCGCCCCGCCGCCGCCAGCGGTCCAGGCCGCCGCGAGCCTGTGCGCTTCTCACCTCATCTCCGGGCGGGTCCGCGCTGCCGCCCCGGGGACAAATCAGTGCAGCTCACACGTCGCGCCGAAGGACGCCGGAGCCGCAGCCCCGCACCATCCCCGCGCGCCCGCCCGCCCGCCTCCCGGTGCGTCCCGGAGCCCGCTCGGCAGCCTCCCTCGCGAGCCGCCGTACTACCGAGCAACCAAGCTGCGCTCCCGCCCCGCGTCCCTCTGCTCCTCTCTACCTCCTCCGATCCCTCCCTCACTCCCTCGCTCCCGCCTATCTCCTCATCTCCCTCTCTGGCCTCCCCCGCCTCCAACCACGCCTTCGCCTCCGCCCATAGATGGGTGGAGACAACATTCCGCCAATAGGAGGAAGGCTCCCGCACCTCCTCACCGCCTCCTACATCTGGCCCCGCCCACCGCAGGCATAAAAACCCGGGAGGGGGGGAGGGCAAAAAAAAAAAAAGATGGAAGCCTGCAGAGTGACAGCCAAGTGAGCCAATCGGCAAGCTTAGAGTTGGCGGATTGAGAGTCTTGCAAAGGAGGCAACCGAAGGCTTCTGGTGTGGGAAATCCTTGTGGGGACCTATAGGCTGGGTGTTCAACAATATGGTTGTATCTGACCGTCGGCCTGCCATGCACTAGATAGGATGCGTTCAACCTAAGAGAAGGCTTCCTAAGAGAGAACGCGGAGACGAAAGAGAAGCGGACACGGTCCGAGGAGGGAGCTAGAGAATACCGCTGGGATGGGGAAGGGTGTGGTGTTCAGGGAGATCTGCATAAAAGAGAACCCCTGCAGGCGAATCCGCTGTGGCCCATTTATTGGTAGCGCCCGAGGCGAGCCGAGCATACCGGGAGCTGTAGTTCCGAGTTCGGTTGCTACGGCGTTCTCCACAGCCTCTGCGAGTCCGGTCCCGCCCCGCCGGAGTGGCGGGCGGCCCGGCCAATGGGAGCACAGCCTGGGCCCGAGGGGGCGGGCTCTCTGCGGAACGCCTGGAAGGTGGCGGCGGAGGCGAAGGCGCAGGCCGTTGGGGCTGCTCCCCCGCAGGTGAGCCCCGGGAGGCGCGTTGTGTGGCTTGGGGAGCGGGACTTGGGGCGCGAAGGCTCGAGAGGCGCCCGGCGGAGCCGTCCGGCCCCGGGGAGGCCGTGGGTCGGCGTCGCACCCCGGTTTCAGCCGGCTCGAGCGCGGGCCTAGCTGAGCCGAGGCCGCCGAGGGGCGGGCGAGCCGCGGGGTGACTGACACCGCTCCGGCCCGTCACCGTTCGGGCTGCAGGTTCTCGCTCGCTCTGCATTTCCCTCCACACGCCCGGAGGCGGCGGGCTGCAAGTTTCCTTCCTGGAGCTGGCCCCCCGCGCGCGCCCCGGTTCTCGCGGTTCCCCCCGACTCGCCCCTCCGCCAGCTCCTCCCCGGCCTGCCTGTCCCTGCGCTGCGAGCAGTGAGCCGAGGCCAGCGCTTCTGTACCGTGCACTGAGCCCAGCCGCGGGTGCGGCCTGGAGCGGAGGCTGGAGCGGCCCCGGGGTCGCGGGAGAGAGCGGGCCCGGCCCTAGGGACCCCTGCTTCCCGCGTGTTCCCGCGTGCACCCGCCACGAGGCCGCGAGCTTCTGCCCCGCCCGTGGCCGGTGCGGATCGCCTGCGAGCCCCCCGTGCGGGCTTAGACGTCCAAGCAGCCACGTTTTTAAAAAGTGCAAAGAAACACGTGAACTTCAGTTGTGCTTATTGTAACCCAGTGTGCCCAAAATGCTATTATTTCAACAAACACCGGAGTCGGATAGTTTAAGAGTGAGATATTTCTTTCTTTTTTTCCGTATTAAGTCTTACAAATGTGATGTGTACTTAACCCTTAGGGCGCACCTCCGTATCTACAAGACACAGTTCCAGTGCTCAGTAGCCACCTGTGGCTTGTGGCGGTTACTGCACAGAGCGCATCCAACTGATAGGGCCCACACTGCAGAAAATTAGCCATGTTCCCATTAAGGTTGTGGTGACCAAATCCTCGGCTGCTTGGGAAATGCGCTTCCGAACTAAAGTGGTCTCTGCCCGATTCGCAGGAAAAATAGCTCACGTTTACTGAAAGCAAGCCTGTGCCCCGTGCTTCCATATTTTACTGTGTTTAACCCTTGCAGCAGTCCTTCGAGGTCATCACCATTGTTTCCGTATCTCGTAGCTATGGATTCCAAGGTCCAGAAAGGTTACAATTAAAAAGCCTGAAGTCGTGCACTAGTAAGTGGGAGTGTCAGGATTCAGACTGGGTTTTGTTCTTTTTTTTTTTTTTTTTAAGATTTATTTATTTACTTGAGAAGGAAGCGTTACACAGAGGGAGAAGTAGAGGCAGAGAGAGAGAGAGAGGCCTTCCATCTGCTGGTTCACTCCCCAGTTTGCTGCAACGGCCAGAGCTGCGCCAACGCGAAGCCAGGAGCCCAGAGCTTCTTCTGGGTCTCCCAGTTGGGAGCAGGGGACCAACGACTGGGGTCATCCTCCACTGCCTTCCCAGGCCACAGCAGAGAGCTAGGTGGGAAGTGGAGCAGCTGGGACCCGAACCAGCACCCACATGGGCTACCTCACGGAACGTGGTGCTTTACCCACTACGCCACAGCGCCGGCCCCCTGGGTTCTGTTCTCACTGCGCAGTTCTACCCGTCAACCACTGCAGTATGTAGTTATTGCCTTTTCTTTCAGATTATTTCATTGTTCCTGCTTCAGCTTATGGTAGGGAGGAGCCTACCATTTGGAGTGAAATATTTTGATACTTTTATCACGCTCTGTTGTGCATTTAAAATCATTTCTGGAGTGCAGAGAGTTGAAAACCTCAAGGAGATACTTGGGCCTCTGGATCTAGTATACTCTGGGCAGTAAAGAATCTAAATTCATTTGTGTACCTCCCCTCCCCTTTTTTTAAGATGTATTTATTTATTTATTTGAAAGGCATAATTAGCATTTCTCAGTCTTCTGGCTAAGATCAAGTGTATTTGAAAGGCAGAGTTCCAGAGAGCTAGAGATATCTTCCATCCACTGGTTCACTCCCCCAAATGGCCACAGTCATGGCGTTGGACCAATCAGGAGCTTCTTCCAGGTCTCCCACGTGGGTGCAGGGGCCCTAGGACTTGGGCCATCTTCCACTGCTTTCCCAGGCACATTAGAAGGCCGCTGGATCAGAAGAGGAGCAGCTGGGACTCGAACCTGCACCCATATTGGGTGCCAGCGCTGCAAGTGGTGGCTTTACCCGCCATGCCACAGCACTGGCCCCTGTGCCCCTTCTTAATGAAGGAAGTGGGGAAACCTTGGTATTTTTACAATGCTGCCCTCTGGAATCAGTGATTTTTGGATTTGTTTGTCAAGAACTCTTTTCTTTTTATGATAGATAAAAATAATTTTTTGGCCCTTATGTACTTCTCACAGAATATTCCAAAGACAGTTTTATAGCTTTTAGAATCAAAGAGCAACACAACACCAAGAGAGAAAAGCAAGAAAACATATGCTAAAATATGATGCTTTGCAAAACAATATTCTTTCACTTTTGTGTATTACAGCGTTTTAGTGACATTATTTTCCTCTTGATTTTGAATTTTTTTGTAAATATTTAGTCAAAATTACAACTCATATTTTACATTTGAAGCAGGAATTGGTTTCTACAAGAACTTCTAGTTAATTGGAAAATTAAGGAAGCTTTTACAACTGCAGTAATGTCAGTGGATGGAGAAGACTGGGTCAAATTTCTTGGAGGGTTGACATGTAACTGATGAGACAATTGCTTGTCTCCCTCATTACCACTGGTTCCAAGGTCCCTTCTCCCAGTGTCCTGTGCTGAAGCCATCCTAAAGGGTAGACTACAGGTAGTCACACCGTGGGCTCCATTTTCGTCCAGTAGCACAATATGGGGACATGTGATGCTCATTCAGAAATATAAATGATAAAGTTCTTGTTGTTCTAGATTAAGCAGTATTAAATGGCCCCTCACAGAACAGGAACTAGACCAGAACCTTCCAGTCTCTGGGAGAGTGACCATCCCAACTCATGCATCCCCGAGGTATAGGTAGAGGGGTCCCTTGTGTAAGAAATCCTAGATTCTTAAGTGAAAATGTACCTTGTAAATCAACAGACAGTAAATCTCTTATAGAAAATAGTAAATCTCTCAAAAGATTGTTTAAAAAGTCATAATTGGGAGCCACGTGCTAGATAGACTCTTGGTGGAAACCACTTGTTGCAAAGCAAATGTCTTTTTTTCTCTTTTGCTTCTGCTACAACTTAGATCGAAAAAGTAATGTTCTCTTTCTGCTTTCCCACCTATGTTTAGATCTCAGGTTGCGTAAACTTAGAGATGATGCCTGCCTCACATGTATAAATTCAGTCAAGTATGACTTGATAATATTCATAGAAATTGAAAGTGTTGGGGCCAGCGCTGAGACACAGCGGGTTAACGCCCTGGCCTGCAGTGCCGGCATCCCATATGGGCGCCAGTTCTAGTCTCGGCTGCTCCTCTTCAAATCCAGCTCTCTGCTGTGGCCTGGGAAAGCAGTAGCAGATGGCCCAAGTCCTTGGGCCCCTGCACCCACATGGGAGACCCGGAGGAAGCTCCTGGCTCCTGGCTTCAGATAGGTGCAGCTCCATCAGTTGCGGCCAGTTGGGGAGTGAACCATCGGATAGAAGACTTTCTCTCTTTCTGTCTCTCTCTGCCTCTCCTCTCTGTGTAACTCTGACTTTCAAATAAAAATAAACAAATCTTTAAAATAAAAAAGTGTTGTAATTAGAAGAGACCTTGATGGTCATTAATCCCCCATCCCACTCTCCTGACTCTTTATGAAGCTCCATAACTGTATCCAGCCACCAGGACCTCAGAACTTCATTTTCCATGTTTTTATTTCTTAAATTCTTTTTTAAAAGATTTATTTTTATTTGTTTGAAAGAGTTGCAGAGAGAGGTGGAGACAGAGATCTTCCATACACTGGTTCACTCCCCCGATGGCTGCAATGGCCAGAGCTGAGCCAATCCAAACTCAAGAGCCAGGAGCTTCCTCCGGGTCTCCCACATGGGTTGCACAGACCCAAAGCACTTGGGCCATCTTCTACTGCTTTCCCAGGCTCATTAGCAGGGAACCAGATCAATAGTGGAGCAGCCAGGATTCAAACCGATAGCCATATAGGGTGCCGGCACTGCAGGCCCCTGGGCTTTTTACCTTGCTGCGCCACAGCATCAGCCCCATTTTTAACTCTTAAATTAGACTACCTAAATCCTGAAAATAAAAACTCTTGGAAGTATGTGTTATTCGCTAGGCATAGCCACTGTCACAGCATCTCCTGTGCCCGCCCTGCAACAGGCACAGAGGATCAGTGCAGCTGTTGCCTGTGCGAAGTGTCCAAGAACATACAGGCATCTTGAGACGGTTGCCTGTATAATGAAGAGAAGTCCTCCGACTGTTAGGACCTCCTGTCACCTCTCCTTGGACGCACAGCTGGCCTGTCTGGCACTACATCACCCACAACCTACAGAGTACAGTATTGAACCAGAATTCCATCCAGTTACTTTGATTATGCTGACCATGTGTTTGTAACCAAGTGTTTGGGTACTTGTTTTGATAACAGCTGTCTTTCTGTTGTGTGGACATCCACGTGAAAGATCTTACTGATTAATAAGAGCATTGTTAAAACTTACTGTTAAGTCACCTCTTCCCAAATGATCAAAATAGAACTGACGATCTTTCCCCCTAACAATGCTGAGCTCTGCACAAGTTCTGAGGCTGGATAGGGACTAGGGCACTGGGTGCCCACACGTCCAGCGTATGGGACCGCATTTCAAGTCTGTTTTCATCTGTCTTCCTGTAGCCTAGCTGCTTGGCAATCTGCTTTCTCCAAAATAACAATGAGAGTGGATTAGAAACATAACTGAACTCTGAATCTGTAGTGATCATAGTATTGCAAATTTTGTATGAGAAAACAATAAAAACTTGAGCATAAAAGAAGAGTTTGGGCTTTCAGGAACGGGTAGGATTTGAGGGAGATAAATGAAACCCTTCCACTATCTCGGGTGATATCCCAGGTCTGAGGCGGTCAGGTGTTCTCATGTCACCTGTGCTGAGGTGAGGGCCCTTGGAAGTGAGCAAGGCAGGCAGGACATCATGAAAGAAAATAACTTTTGTGGTTGATAATACTGAAGAGGGACGTCAGCAGCCGTAAGATGTTCCCTGAAGTGTGGAGATGAGAGCAAAACCTGTTTGTTAGAAAGACGAGTCTTCATGTTTGTGGAATTTGAGGATGTCTGATACTCGGGACACTTTTGACCTGAACACATTGGTAAGCAATGATCTGTAGAGGCTTTATTTATGATTATTAATAGATGAGCTCCTTGGGGGACTGAGTGGAGGTGGACAAGAGTAAGCGCAGTTCATGTTGCTGGTACAGCAGTGATGAAAGCGTCAGGAATTACTTCCTATTGATTTTTTAGAAATCCCCTAACACAGGGGTGGGGTTATGGCACAGCAGGTTAAGCCTCTGCTTGGGAAGCACAGGTGCGATGTAGGAGTGACTGAAGTCCTGGCTCCTCCACTTCCTGGCCAGCTTCCTGCTGATGCCCCCACCCCGGGAAGTGGCAGACAATGGCCCCGGAGTACTGATGTTCCTGCCGCCCTCCAGGGAGGCCTGGATGGGATTCCTGCCTTCTGCTTGACCCAGCCCTGGCTGTTGCCAGCATCTGGGGACTGAACTGGTGGATGAAAGATCTCTCTCTCTCTCTCCCTCTCTGCCTTTCGAATAAATAAATCTTGAAAAGAAATCCTTTAATAGATCAATATCTGTCTTAGCTATTTTCTTAAAGTGATTATAATCAAGTTTTAAATTTATACAAAGCCCTCTTTCTGCTTTGAACAAGAAATTATTTGAAATAACTATTTTTAGTGTTTTCTTTCTTTTTCTTTTTTTTCTAGAGGTGGAGACAGAGAGCGGGCAAGCTACCATCTGCTGATTCATTCCTCAAATGCCAACAACTGCCTAGGCTGAAGCCAGGAGCCAGAATCCCAATCTGGGTCTCCTACCTGGGTAGCGAGTTTCTTCAACCTTGCCTCTCAGAGTTTACATTAGCAGGAAGCTGGAATCAGGAGTTAGAGCCACACATAACCACTAGGCCAAACACCCACTCCATAACAAGTTTCAGTATATAACCCTTATTAAAAATTAAAGTGTCAGGCCATATATCCTGGCTGTCAGAGGCATTTGTGGAATGAACTGCCAGATGGGAGATCTCTGTCTTTCTGTCTCTCTGTGTGTCTCTGCCTTTCAAATAAAGAAGTTAAAAATTGCTTAAATTTTATATATCACTTTTTGATATAGCAAAATTTACAGTACAACATAAAATTTTGAAATTATATGACTCTTAGAAATGCCTTAGTATTGTATATTTAATTTCAACTTTTATTTTATAAAATATTCAGTTATTTATTTCCTGTGTGCACATAACTTTAAATTCAGTAAGCATTTTACTAAATAATAGACTAGTATTCCATTTAATCTTGACCAGTACCTAAGAAACCATACAGGCCTTCAGACCATTCATTCTCCTACTTTCTTATTGCCAGAAATTCATTGTGCCTTTTCTGGGTTTGCAAAACAAGTAATTAATAATTGTCTTAATTTTTCTGGCCACTTTTGTGAAAACAGCTCTCTTTACTTTTTAGCTCTGAGGATACACATTTCTTACTTGGATAACTAATCATGATTTCTTTCCACCAGCAAGGCTGATATGTACCTAATTTGAGGGAACTTTTTAAGGATGATCTGACTAAAATGTTAATATCACTGTGCATATAGTATTTGCTTTAAGGGAGCCCAAGCAGTTATCTTCCAGGATCTTGGAAACTGGAGTGTAGTATAAGGCCCATGTAACTATTGATCTGGGAGACATTCAGTGGTCAGAGAAAACCAAACCAATAGCTTCCAGAATCACAAAGGGAAATACTTTTAAATAAAGATATTTATGTGTAATTATTCTGCTTCTCTAAAACCAACGCTATAAATCCAGACCAAGTAGGTGCAGAGACTTATTTATAGTGATTGTCCCAAGCAATAACTGAGAAACCCCACTAGTTAGTAAAATTAAGCAAGATTTTTTCTGTTGGTGTGTGACAAAATCTAGGAGCCTGGAATAAGTGTGGTAGACTGAGTGTCGCTGGGGGTGATTCCCGACAGGGTGTGGGGCTTGAGCTTTGTTTACTTAGTGGAATCTGAAGTAAGCACAGCACACAGAACAGGCCGTGCCTGGAAGACCCGAGGCAGGTAACCACATGTTGGGAAGTCATAGTAACCAAATCAAATACAGAGAACGTCCTGGAAAATTGTGGGTAAAGCAAACCAGGGCGAGCGGGTATGCATTTTAGAGAGACTTGATAGCTAGGTGGAATAGATTCTATTTAATGTTGGAAATTCATAGCTGCTTTGTGCTTAAGTTCTTCCCCTCTCTCCCACCCCCGACTACCCAACAAACACATTGGCACAAGGAAAGATCTTTTGTAACTAACCTGTTAAAATTAATCAGTTCACCTGGCTCGCCCTGTTTTTCTTTTTTTTTTCTTTCTCTTTTTTTTTTTTTTTTGACAGGCAGAGTGGACAGTGAGAGAGAGAGACAGAGAGAAAGGTCTTCCTTTGCCGTTGGTTCACCCTCCAATGGCCGCCGCGGCCGGCGCACCGCGCTGATCCGATGGCAGGAGCCAGGAGCCAGGTGCTTCTCCTGGTCTCCCATGGGGTGCAGGGCCCAAGCACCTGGGCCATCCTCCACTGCACTCCCTGGCCACAGCAGAGAGCTGGCCTGGAAGAGGGGCAACCGGGACAGAATCCGGCGCCCCGACCGGGACTAGAACCCGGTGTGCCGGCGCCGCTAGGCGGAGGATTAGCCTAGTGAGCCGCGGCGCCGGCCTCGCCCTGTTTTTTCAATACTGTTGATACGTGCAGCCTGCGTACTTTCTATTATATTTGTCTTCAATGTGTTTTCATTTCTGTTAGCTCCAGCCTTTGGTTATCACATCCTCCACTCCAATCAGTGAAAATCCTTTAGGGGGATCCAGTTAGATCCACTGAGTTTCAGCGCACAGAGCTGGCATCATGGATACACAGCCTAAGCAGTCTTACTACAAGGCTTCACACTCAGAAGTAACCTATGCTTTCCTGCCGCTGTCTAGAAATTCTAGCACTTTCTGGACAAGATTCCCCACACATTGTCATCTTGTATTGAGCCCTGCAAATTATGTATTCAGTTCTGTCAACAAACACTTAATAATTTCAGTCTTAAAGGATAAAGTATTCTAGTGTCTGACATTAGCAGCTCAGTAAGAAAGCATGAAACACTGCAGTGGTTAAGTATTTGTTTTAGAATTGGTAACGTGGTTTGTGGCCCAGCTGGTACTGTGAGAATGCAGGACTCTAAGATCCACTCTCCTAATCCATAAAATAAATGCAGTGATAGTACCTTCCGCAAAAAGTCTCTATGAAAGTATTCTTAACGGTTTATATCCCTAAACTGGAAGCAATTCTAATGTCTGTACTGTAATGGCTAAGTTGTAGTTTACTCATACAGGGAAATTCTGTATAGCAATGTGATTGAATGGGTTTTAATGACAAACAACATCAGTAGGACTCAAAAATATACAATTAAAAAAAAAATAGATGACGCCATTCTGTGCTGTGAAACCTCAGGATATTGAGTATCTTGAGAAGGAGAGAAGGTGGAGCCTGGAGGAGACACAAAGGAGCTTCTGTAGTCCAGTCCTGTGTGTCCCTGTGATGTAGACGTATTCACTTTGGAAACTTGGACACACTACATGCTTAAGATTTTTGTACTTTTCTGTGTTTAATTCATCTATAAAATTTATATGAAAATGCTGCAATGTGATAACTATGAAAATTAAAGGAAGAACTATGGAATCCTTAGAGATGCTGCAGGAGGCACAGGATGCAGGGGTAAATACCGGCAGGAAGTGATTAATAGACCTGTGTGGAAGAATGATGGTCACAGTGTCAACCAGAGTCCTGCTATGCACTTTTCCCCTTTTAGCTATCTTTAAGATTTTGAACGCTAAGATTTGTAAGTTTAGAGATAATAGTTTTAAACCACTGGCAAACAAAAATGAGTTTCTTTGGATTTAAGTACATGCAATATGTTTTTATTGAACAAGAAACTGAAATTAAGCATATGCTCACCTTTATAGTGAAAGCTTAAACTATGAACCCATTCTTAGTGAGACATGTACCCAGAAATGGCTGTATATTCTCTGATCTGCTCTGATCACTATTTGCAAGAACTATAATATAAATCCCTTGTTTGAAGATTGTATTCATAATTATCATTTGATCCTTTGCCAGCAATATTTTTCATCTGTAATTCCATTTTTTCCTGAAGACTTTGTGTGTATGTTTTTTAGGTGACCATGAAAGGCTTATATTTTCAACAGAGTTCCACAAACGAAGAAATAACATTTCTATTTCAAGAAAGGGTAAGAGAAATTGTGTATTTTCTATACATAATACACTTTTGTTGAAAAAGATTTATTTAAGGCCAGTGCCGTGGCTCAATAGGCTAATCCTCCACCTAGCGGCGCCGGCACACCGGGTTCTAGTCCCGGTCGGGGCGCCGGATTCTGTCCCGGTTGCCCCTCTTCCAGGCCAGCTCTCTGCTGTGGCCAGGGAGTGCAGTGGAGGATGGCCCAGGTGCTTGGGCCCTGCACCCCATGGGAGACCAGGAAAAGCACCTGGCTCCTGATCAGCGCGGTGCGCCGGCCGCAGCACGCCGGCCATGGCGGCCATTGGAGGGTGAACCAACAGCAAAGGAAGACCTTTCTCTGTGTGTCTCTCACTGTCCACTCTGCCTGTCAAAATTTTTTTAAAAAAATAAATAAAAATTTATTTATTTATTTGAGAGGCAGAGTTACAGGAGGTGGAGAATGGGAGACAGAGAGTGATCTTCCATCCTGCGGTTCACTCCCCAAATGGCCAGAATGGCTAGAGCTAGACCAATTCAAAGCCAAGAGCTAGGAACTTCCTCTAGGTCTCCCACATGGGTGCAGGGGCCCAAGGACTGGGTCATCCTCCACTGCTTTCCCAGGTGCACCAACAGGGAGCTGGATGGGAAGTAGAGCAACCAGGCCTTGAACCAGCACCCAGATAGGATGCCTGCCCTGCAGTTGGAGGCATAACCTACTATGCCACAGCACCAGCCCCTTAATAAACTTTTAAATAACTCATTATAAGTTATTTTGAGTGGAAGAAGTAACTGAACAAAAGTTTCTTAAATGAAACTTTTTTTTTTTGACAGGCAGAGTTAGACAGTGAGAGAGACAGAGAGAAAGGTCTTCCTTCCTCTGGTTCACCCCCACCCCCCACCCCAAATGGCTGCTACAGCCGGTGCGCTGCGCCGATCCAAAGCCAGGAGCCAGGTGCTTCATCCTGGGCTCCCATGTGGGTGCAGGGCCCAACCACTTGGGCCATCCTCCACTGCCTTCCCGGGCCACAGCAGAGAGCTGGACTGGAAGAGGAGCAACTGGGACAGAACCCAGTGCCCCAACCAGGACTAGAACCCAGAGTACCAGTGCTACGGGTGGAGGATTAGCCTAGTGAGCCACGGTGCTGGCCTTAAATGAAACTCTTGAAATTACTTTGGGGTAGGTATTATGGCAAAGCAGGTTAAGCTACCTCTTGGGATACCTGCATCTCATATCAGAGGGCCAGCTCAAGTCCTGGCTACTCTGCTTCCAGTCCAGCTCCCTACTAATGTATCTGTGACGCAGCAGGTGATGGCTCAAGTACCCAAGTCCCTGCCACCCACATGGAAGACCTGGATGGAGCTCTGAGCTCTTGGCTTTGGCCCAGCTGTTGAAGGCATTTGAGGAGTGAACCAGCAGATTGAAGAACTCTCTCCTTCTAATATTTATTTGTTTATTTGAAAAGCAGAGTTACAGAGAGGTAGAGGCAGAGAGAGGGAGAGGTCCTCCATCTGCTGGTTCACTCCCTAAATGGCCTCAATGGCTGGAGCTGGGCAAATCCAAAGCCAGGAGCAGGAGCTTTCTCCAGGACTCACACGTGGGTGCCGGGGCCCAAGGACTTCGGCCATGCTCCACTGCTTTCCCAGGCCATAGCAGAGAGCTGGATCAGAAGTGGAGCAGCCGGAACTCAAACTAGCACCCGTATGGGAAGCCAGTGCTGCCAGCAGCGGCTTCACCGGCTACACGACAGCACCGGTCTTGATCGTCCATATTGTTGTGTACCTGTGCTGTTTAAAGAATTTTACAGAGGCAGGCATTGTGGTACAACAGAATAAGCCACCACATCACCATGTCAGAGTGCTCGTTCTTGTCCCAGCTATACCGGTTCCCATCCATCTTCTTGCTGATGCATCCTGGGAGGCAGCAGGTAGTGGCTCGAGTATTTGGGTCCTTGAAACATGGGAGGCCGGGATGCAGCTCCTGGCTCCTGACTTTAGTGTGGCACATCTCTGGCCAGGCATTTGGGGAGTGAACCACAGATGAAGCTTGCTCTCTCGCGCTCTCTCTCTCTCTCTCTCTCTCTCACTCTCACACTCTCTGTCTCTCTCTCACTCTGCTTCACTCTCTGCTGCTGCTGTCTGCTTTCTAACTAAGTAAATCAGTCGACATTTAGTTACACAGAGAGAGGGAGAGACAGAGGACGCTTTCATCCACTGGTTCATTCCCCAAATGGCTGCGATGGCCAGGCCTGGGCCAGGCCACAACCAGGAGCCTGAAACTCCGTCTCGGTCTCTCAGATTGGAAGCAGGGATCCGAGGACTTAGGCCATCTTCCACTGCTTTCCCATGTGCCTTAGCAGAGAGCTGGATCAGAAGTGGAGCAGCCAGGACTCTTAAGAATGCCAGTGTTGCAGGTGCAGATTTAACCTGCTGTACCATCATGCTAACCCCATCAAAGTTTCCAGTTGTTCAGGATGCTGCTATGAAAGACATTAGGAAAACAGAACAACTGTAATAGTCTTATACATGTAGCAGATTGAAAGCAGTTTATTCTGAACACAACTAAGCAAGTTAAGCTCACTAAAGTTACCTCACTTACTAAACTTCAGGCGATCTATAGATTTTTACTGCTTTAAGCATGGATAGTAGGATTTTTAATTACTGGTAATTACTAGAAGGGTGTGGAGGCTGGCATTGCGGTGCAGTAGATTAAAGCCAGTGGTCTCTATGCCGGCATCCCATATGGGTGCCAGTTCAAGCCTCAGCTGCACTACTTCTGATCCAGCTCTCTGATGATATGCCTGGGAAGCCGGCAGTTGGTGGCCCAGGGTTTGGGTCCCTGTACAAAGGTGGGAGACTGGGAGGAAGCTCCTGAATCCTCGCTTCGGTCTGGCCCAGATAGGTGTGAGGCAATTCAAAATCTTTTTTTTTGTAAATTTAGGAATGAAAAGCACCTGAGTATTAGATAGATCGATCGATCGATCAATCGCAGGATTTTATAGTAATAAAAAATGTGTAGATCATGAATGTAATCCTCACCCCCCTGCCTTTGTCTTTCACAATCTCCAAATTAATTTAGGTCCGGAGTCTAAATCTTAGACAGCTTGGCTTCTACCATTGGGTCAGGGTGAGAGTCTAAGATTTGATTGATTGTCAGGAAGTCTCATCTCCAGGTTCAACAAATCATGAGTAAAATTCACAAATGCATCAATATTGTTGAGTGTCTTCTTAATATCACCAAGTAGCAAGTCTGAGATTTAAAAAGAGACACCCCCAGAATATTGTGCTCATGGCAAATAAGACAGTAATCTCTTTGGAAGGTCACAGGAAGGGCTATGCAAATAGCTACTCTTGGCTAGCTTTTAATCTAATTTTGGGCTATCAGGATTTGAAGTAATTATTGGTGCTAGGGTATAGTTATTTGGAGATGGTGATATTATATTTAATAATATTGGTTGGATGATAGTGAGTAATGAATTAAGAATAAAAATCTAGCTGTGGACTATGAGAGTTAATTAAATTTCATTTATGGGTTTCTAATTTAGTTTTTTTTTTTTAAGATTTATTGATTTAGTTGAAAGGCAGAGAGAGAAAGAGAGAGAGATCTTCCATCAGCTGGTTTGTTCCCCAAATGGCCACAATGGCTGGAGCTGGGCCAAGCCAAAGCCAGGAACCAGGAACTTCCTCTGGGTCTCCCACATGGGTGAGGGTCCCAAGCACTTGGGCCATCTTCTGCTGCTTTCCCAGGCACATTAGCAGGGAGCTAGATTGGAAGGAGAGCAGCCGGGACCCTAACTGGCACCCATATGAGATGCTGGTATTGCACATGGAGACTTAACCTACTATGCCACAGCGCCAGCCCCTAAGTTTGTGTTTTGACCTAAAACTCCCATAGGGCAAGCTGAAATGTCCAAAACAGGTGTTAGGAAAAAAATGAACAAATATCTCTAAATAACTTGATGTATAGCATTAAGTAGTAAAAGCTATATATCTGTGAGGTTTTTTTGTTTTTCGGGTTTTTTTTTTTTTTAGAAAGATCTTCCTTCTGTTGGTTCACTCCCCAAATGGCCGCCATGGCCGGCGCTGCACCAATCCGAAGCCAGGAGCCAGGTGCTTCTTCCTGGTCTCCCATGCGGGTACAGGGGCCCAAGCACTTGGGCCATCCTCCACTGCACTCCCAGGCCACAGCAGAGAGCTGGACTGGAAGAGGAGCAACCAGGACTAGAACCTGGCGCCCATATGGGATGCCAGCACCGCAGGCAGAGGATCAACTAAGTGAGCCATAGCGCCAGCCCCCCATCTGTGTTTAAGATTATCTGTAAATGGGCCCTGCGCTATGGCATAGAGGGTAAAGCCACCACCAGCAGTGCCAGCATCCCAAATAGGCATTGGTTCAAATCCCAGCTGCGATCCAGTTTCCTGCTAATGTGCCTGGGAAAGCAGCAGAAGATGGCCCGAGTCCTTGGGCCCCTGCACCCACGTGGGAGATCCAAAAGAAGCTCCAGGATCTTGGCTTTAGATTGGCCCAGTTCCGGCCGTTGTACCCATGTGGGAAGTGAACTAGCAGGTGGAAGCTCGCTCGCTCGCTCGCTCTCTATCTGCCTCTGCCTCTGCCTATCTGAAATTCTGACTTTCAAATAAATAAAAAAAATTCTTTAAAAAAATAAAAATAAAAAAAAAGATTATCTGTGTGAAGGGCTGATTTTTTTGGGGCGCTGATGTTTTAAGATTAGGTTAAGATAAAGTACAGTATTGCTGTATTTTATTATCCTAAGTTTATTATCTATACATCTATCAGTCTTAGTATGTGAATGTTCATGGGTACTCATTTTAAAAATTGTACTCCAAAACTTTCTTTATTCTTTTTTTGACTGTATTTTGCTGAATATTTGTAACTTAAGTTAGCTGTAAGATTTAAGATATGTTTGATTTTGTTCAATTATGTGTGAAAATTTTCACAATTTAAGTGAATGTTCTCATATGAATATATAACACATGTTGTTGTTATTTGCTTCTAGGAAAATCTTCCTGTTACAGAGGATAACTATGTGAAACTTCAAGTAAAAGCTTGTGCTCTAAGCCAGATAAATACGAAGGTATTGCTGCTTTTATTATAGCCAAAAATCAAATGATGCTTCATAGTGTATTTAGTGTGTAGATGTAATAATAACTACTTTCTGAGTGTCAAGAAATTACTGTCATCCTTGGAATGGATAAGAAAATAATTTAATGTGCATTATGTATTTCTACATTAAGGTAAATTATTAGTCTGATTAAAGATACATTTTGATCATCATAGGAAACTTTAAAATCCTTTACTTTACAAAAGCTGAGGGTTAGTAATTTTTAAGGCCTATAATCAAGGAAGAGATCATTTGTATGAATGTAATAAAAATAGAAACTAGAAACCTTACCAAAAAATTAACCACCAATTCTATTCTAGTTAATGTCTCTAGGTATGGGTCATACTCTTGTCATCTCTCTCTCTCTCTCTCTCTCTCTCTCTCTCTCCCCTATAAATACATATTTCCAATCTCATACCATAATAATTACTCCCTAGCAGCCTGTCATATTACCGACCATGAAAGCCATGGGTAAGTCTTCAACTGGTGAAAAACAAAACTATAGCTAAGTGTACCATGATAAACAGATCCATTTACTAGGTTTTATAGAGATAATGCCATAGTTAATGGATTCTTCACTTACTGGGCCGTAATATCAACATACTTGTTCAGACTCTAAGTTCTCTTTGATAAAGTGATACTTAGAGAAATTACAGAACAAGATTGTAAGCTTCCACTAGGCAACTCTATAACGTGAGCATGACTTGAGCATGCGTTACTGAGATCCCCTGAAGGCTTTAACCAAGAATGCTAGTGATAGTCTCTTTCTGGAGACATCTACATCAGAAGATTTTTTTTATTTTTTAATATTTATTTACTTGAAAGGCAGAGTTAGAGAAGGAGAGACAGAGAGATCCTCCATCCGCCACAGGCCATGGCTCAACCCACCTGGCACTGGCCCCCAGAAGATGTTCTTTTTAAAACTATGAAAAATCCATGGGCTGGCATTGTGGCACCATGGATTTAAGCTACCACCTGAGACACTGGCATCCCATATGAGTGCTGATTCAAATCCCAGCTCCCCACTTTTGATTCAGCTCCCTGTTAAAGCATCTGAGAAAGCAGCAGAATCTGATCCAAGTGCTTAGGTTCCTGCTGACCATATTGAAGAACCGGATGGAGTGCTGGGCTCTTAGTTTTAGTCTAGCCCAGCCTTGACTGTTGCAACCATCTGGGGAATGAACCAGCAGATAGAAGATCTCTCTCTCTCTTTCTCTCTCTCTACAACTCTGCCTTTCAAATAAATAAACACATATTTGAAAAAGAGAGAGATGGGACCAGTGCTGTGGCATAGTGGGTTAAGCCTCCATATGCAATGTAGGTATCCCATATGTGTGCTGGTTTGAGTCCCAGTTGTTCCACTTCTGATCCAGCTCCCTGCTAATGCACCTGAGAAAGCAGCAGAAGATGGCCAAAATACTTGGACCCCTGCACCCATGTGGGAGACCCAGAAGAAGCTCCTGGCTTCAGATTGGCCCAGTTCCGGCAATTATAGCCATTTGGGGAGTGAACAAGGAACAGATGGAAGATCTCTCTCTCTCTCTCTCTCTGTCTCTCTGTCTCTCCTTCTCTCTCTCTGTCTCTGTAACTCTGCCTTCCAAATAAGTAAAACTGAATCTTTAAAAACAGCAAAAAAAAAAAAAAAGTATGAAAAAATCTAGGGTAGCTGTTTGGCACAGTGGTTAAGACACCGCTTGGAATGCCCCCTTCCATTTCTTGGTACCTGGTTCATGCTGTAGCTACACTACTTCCCGGTCAGCTGTGTGCTGATGTGCACCGTGCGAAGCAGCAGATGATGGCCCAAGTTGTTGGGTCCCTGCCACCCACATGAGAGACCTAGACTGAGTTTCAGGCTCCTGGCTTCGACCAGTCCCACCTCTGGCTTTTGCAGGAATTTGGGGAATGGACCAGCAGATGGAAGATCTCGCCCTGTGTCTGTCTTTCTCTTTGTCTCACTGCCATTCAAGTAAAATCAAAATAAATGAAAATTTTAAAATAAAACAACTATGAAAAATCCATTAAAAACCCAAGTCTAGGAAATAATATTCCTAACTGAAAAAAATATCCCTAACTGAAAAAAAATTATAAATTACAGTAAAATCAGTTGAATGAAAGATTGCATTAAGTGTAACAGTTATGAAAATCATGCAATAGTATAAGAAAGTACTTATGGTAAGTGAAGGAGGCTGGGTACAATGGCCAAAATCATTATTATGTAGAAATATGCATAAAAACAAATGCTGTAAAACACCCAATATTTCTATAAAAATCTAATATGATCTAGGAAACATGTAAAGTTCCACATGAAAAAAAAGAGATATTCAGCTATGATTATAGGAGTTCAAAAAATTGAAAAGTAAAACAAATACACAAAATTATTTCAATGCTTTTTTATTTCCTGTTCCTAAAGTACAATGATATCCACAAATACGTTCAGCATCTCTACAATTATTACAAATGGCAAGAACTTGGCCGGCGCCGCAGCTTACTAGGCTAATCCTCCGCCTGCATCGCCGGCACACCGGGTTCTAGTCCCGGTCGGGGTGCCAGTTTCTGTCCTGGTCACTCCTCTTCCAGGCCAGCTCTCTGCTGTAGCCCGGGAGTACAGTGGAGGATGGCCCAAGTGCTTGGGTCCTGCACCCCATGGGAGACCAGGAGAAGCACCTGGCTCCTGGCTTCAGATAGCGCGGTGTGCTGGTCGCAGCGTGCTGGCCGCGGCGGCCATTGAAGGGTGGACCAACGGTAAAAGGAAGACCTTTCTCTCTGTCTCTCTCTCTCTCACTGTCCACTCTGCCTGTTAAAAAAAAAAAAATGGCAAGAACTCAAACTATAGGCCTTAAGTAGTATATTCTGTTACTTAAAATTGTAATTAATTTGGTTAGAATTTTACAAAAAACTAAACTCCTTTTTTGTTCATTAAAAAAAAATAAAAAGGGTGTATCTATTTGAAAGAGTGAGAGCTCTTTCTTCCGCTGTTTCACTCCCCAAATGGCCACAATGACCAGGGCTGGGCAAGGCTGATGCCAAGAGCTTCATCCAGGTCTCCCACATGGGTACAGGAGGTCCTAGGACTTGGGCCGTCTCCTGCTGTTTTAGCAGGTGTATTAGCAGGGACCTGGATGGGAAGTAGAACAGCTGAGACTCAGCAGCTACCCATATGAGATGCTAGGCATTGACGTACCCTGTTATGCCACAGTGCCTGCCTCAATACTAAACTCTTAAAAGTAAATATTTAGGGGCTAGCACTGCAGAATAGCAGATAAAGCTGCCACCTTCATTGCCAGCACCTCATACAGGTACCGGTTCAAATCCTGGCTGCTCCTCTTCCAATCCAGCTCCCTGCTAATGCACTTGGGAAAGCAGCAGAGGATGGCCCAAACCCTGGGCCCTCTGCACCCATGTCAGAGACCTGGAAGAGACTTCAGGCTCCTTGCTTCAGATTGGCCCAACATAGGCCATTGCAACCATTTGAGGAATGAACCAGCGACTGGAAGACTTCTCTTTCTCTTTCATTTTCTGTCTCTGTCTATAACTCTGCCTTTCAAATAAATAGATCAGTCTTTAGACCTGCACTGTGGCATAGTGGGTAAAGCCACCACCTGCAGTGCTGGCATCCCATATGGAATCCCAGCTGCTCCACTTCCAATCCAGTTCTCTTCTGTGGCCTGGTAAAGCAGTAGAGGATAGCCCAAGTCCTTGGGCCCCTGCACCCACGTGGGAGACCTCAAAGAAGTTCCTGGCTTTGGATCAGACCAGCTCCGGCCCTTGCAACCATTTGGGGAGTGTACCAGCAAATAGAAGGTCACTCTCTCTCTCTGCCTATGCTTCTGCCTCTGTGTAACTCTCCCTTCCAAATAAATAAATAGGGGCCAGTGCCGTGGCTTAGCAGGTGAAGCTGCCACCTGCAGTGCTGGCACTCTGTGGGTGCCAGTTCGAGTCCCAGCCGCTCCACTTCCAATTCAGTTCTCTGCTGTGGCCTGGGAAAGCAGTAGAGGATAGCCCAAGTCCTTGGGCCCCTGTACCCACGTGGGAGACCTGGAAGAGGCTCCGGGCTCCTGGCTTCAGATTGACACAACTCCAGCCATTGCACCCAACTGGGGAGTAAACCAGCAGATGGAAGACCTCATTCATTCATTCATTCTCTCTCTCTCTCTGCCTCTCTAAAACTCTGCCTTTCAAATAAATAAATAAATCTATTTTAAAAAATGGAGTCAAAATTTAGGCAAAAACATTGTAGTAATGAGGGTTGAGCCTCTCAGGATACCCACAACCTGTAACAGAGTGCTAGTCTGAATCCTTGCTACTATGCTGCTGCTGCTTTTTTTTTTTTTTTTTTTAAGATTTTTATTTATTTATTTATTTGAAAGACAGAGTTACAGAGAGAGAGAGAGAGAGAGAGAGAGAGAGAGAGAGGTCTTCCATCCACTGGTTCACTCCTCAAATGGCCACAACAACTGGAGCTGTGCCAATCCGAAGCTAGGATCCAGGAGCTTCTTCTGGGTCTCCCACGTGCGTGCAGGGGCCCAAGGACCTGGGTCATCTTCTACTGCTTTCCCAGGCCATAGCAGAGAGCGGATCGGAAGAGGAGCAGCGGGACTAGAACTGCTGCCCATATGGGATGCCAGCAGTTCAGGACAGGGCTTTAACACACTGTACCATAGCGCCGGCCCCGCTACTGTGCTTCTAATCCAGCTTTCTGCTCATGCATCCTTGGAGGTAGCTCAATTGCTTGCACACCTCTACCCATATGGAATCCCAGACTCCTTGCTGTTGTAGGCATTTGAGGGGGTACACCAACAAATGAAAGATTTCACTGTCTGTCTCGATCTCTGTGCCCTGCCTTCCTAATGAAAAAATAATAAACACTTAAAAATGTAGAATTAACCAAGAGAAATATGTATTACTATGAAACTGAGATATTAAAGCCGTTTCCCTGTCTTTCACATCTTGCTGCCTGCTCCCCAGCTTAACATAGGAGGAGAACAGGTGATTTGGAAGGCTTTAGGGATGAAGACCCTTTTATCCTCATTGGCCTCATCCCCAGGCTCAACAGTGTCCTCTACAACCAACCCTCTGGTCAGCTGAGTGAGAGAGCAGATATGCAGTGGCTAACCAGCCAAGGAGTCTTTTGGTTGTACTTCCCCTTCATGCTAGGTTAATGGTATTTGGATAATACTATTTGTACCTAATCCTGTGTACCAACTAATTCCTCAGCAAACTCGTGTTTTCCTCCCTTACAGAGAAACCTGTTTTGAAAAGTTATTTGCTTTGTCTCAGCTCCAAAAATTGGATCATGTTTGGCCTTTCTGGGCATTGGTTTTTGCTTGCTCTTTTCTCCTGTATGACTAGGTGCTGGGTCCATTCTTGACAATGATGTATTAACAGTCTTTGTCTTGATTTAGCTTCTGACAGAAATGAAGATGGAAAAGGAGTTCTTTCCTGTTGGCAGAGAAATTGCTGGAGTTGTGTTAGATGGTAAGTTTATATAAGTAAATATCGATGTTTATTTTATAAGGTAAAAGAAATTGAATAGCTAACTGGTTTGCCACTACATACAATTATACAAAATCTTCATATGTAAAACTTAATTAGGGGCAGGTGCCGTGGCATAGTGGGTAAAGCTGCTGCCTGCAGTGCCGGCATCCCATATGGACACCGGTTTAAGACCCAGCTGTTCCACTTCCATTCCAGCTCTCTGGAATAGAAGATGGGGGGCTGGCGCTGTGGCATGGCTGGTAAAGCCACCACCTACAGTGCCGGCATCTCATATGGGTGCCGGTTTGAGCCCCGGCTGCTTCACTAATGATTCAGTTCTCTGCTGTCGCCTGGGAAAGTAGTAGAAAATGGCCCATGTCCTTGGGCCCCTGCCCCCATATGGGAGACCGGGAAGAAGCTCTTAGCTCCTGGCTTCGGATCGGCGCAGCTCCGGTCATTGCGGCCAATTGAGGAGTGAACCAGTGGATGGAAGACCTCTCCCTCCCTCCCTCCCTCTCTCTCTCTCTCTCTCTCTCTCTCTGCCTCTGCCTCTGCCTCTGCCTCTGCCTCTGCCTCTCCTTCTCTCTGTGTGTAACTCTGACTTTTGAATAAATAAATAAATAAATAAAAGCAGTAGAAGATGGTCTAAGTGCTTGGGCCCCTGCAGCCATATGGGAGACCCAGAAGAGGCTCCTGGCTCCTGGCTTTGGATTGGCCCAACTCTGGCCTTTGCAGGCATTTGAGGAGTGAACCAGCAAATGGTAGACCTCTCTCTCTCTCTGTCTGTTTGTAACTCTACCTTTCAAATAAATAAATCAATCTTTGAAAAAAACTTAATTATACAAAAATGTTGCCCTTTTTTTACTTAAAAAGGACTTAATTGGAATATGCAGTTGAGCTTATTAAAGGTTAGTAAATACAGATTATGTATTTAAATTCACAAATAATTATAGGTAGAATAGAATAACACATGTTGTCCTTTTTTAAAAAATTATTTATTTATAGTTTTAGAGAGGCAGAGAAACAGAAATATTCCGTTTGCTGGTTCACTCCCTAAATGGTGGCACTCGGCTAGAGGTGGGCTATCTGAAGCCAAGAGCCAGGAGCTTCCTCTGGGTCTCCAACACGGGTTCAGGGGCCCAAAGACTTGGGCCATTCTCCACTGCCTTTCCAGGCCATAGCAGGGAGCGAGATAGGAAGTAGAACAGCCAGGACTCAAACCGGCAGTGCTGGCATCACCGGCAGCGGCCCTACCCAGTATGCCACAGTGCTGGCCTCATGTTGTCCTTTTTATGTTGTTTACAAGTTAGCATAAATTTACTTGTGTAATGTAGCTCTGGGCCAAAATTTATATAACAATGACTACATCACATGAAATTTTTGAAAGCTTGCCTAAAATAAGCATTAAAAAAGTTTGTTCATCTAAAAATCGGAATCCCGGTTTCTAGGGGAGAAAGAATAACCAGTCAGATTTTATGTTTTCTTTTAAATTTTTTTTTGTATTTATAGTAAGAAGTGATTAACATGTAGAATAGTAAGCCTATATCAGTTACTCTTTCTCACTATAATCTTTTTTGTTTTTATAAAGCTTACTTTATTTCTCTGAAAGGCAGAGTTACAGAGACAGGGAGAGACGTGGAGAATGAGAAGGATCTTCCATGCTCTGCTCCACTTCCAGTGGCCACAGTGGCTAGGGTTGGGCCAGGCCAGTGCTGGGAGCTTCAGCTGGGTCTCCCACATGTATGGTAGGGACCAAATACCGAGGTCATCTTCCGCAGTTTTTCCCAGACCGTAAGCAGGGAGCTGGATCAGAAGTGGAGCAGCCGAGACTCGAACTGGCACCTATATGGGATGCCAGCAGCATAGACTGGCTTAACTGACTAGACTGCAACACTGGCCTCCAGTGTAATCTTCTGACATCGCTAAATGGTGATTTTATTTCCTTTTTCTGCTCAGACTACAGTACAAACAAGCAGACGATCCGTCATTCATTCATTCCACGCTTAGTGAGCACTTGCTGAGTACTTAGGATGTCCTAAGACAGAGTCCTTGCCCTTAATAAGTTTACTTTCTAGGAGAGAGACAGAGATATAAATATGAGCACATTTTAAAAAAATATTTATTTATTTATTTGAAAGGCAGGGTTGCATAACGAGGAGGGGAGAGAGAGCAAGAGAGAGGTTTTCCTTTCTCTGGTTCACCCCCCAAATGGCCGCAACAATAGACCTGGGCCAATCTGACCAGGAACCAGGAGCTTCTTCAGGGTCTCCCACTCAGGTGCCGGGGCCCAAGGACTTGGGCCATTTGCTGCTGCTTTCCCAGGCTATAGCTGAGAGCTAGACTGGAACTGGAGCAGCCAGGTCTCGAACCAGCGCCCCACATATGAACATATTATTATGAAAGTGCCAGGGCTGGCACTGTGGCATAGTGTGCTAAGCTTCCGCCTGCAGTGCCAGCATCCCAAATGGGCACTGGTTCAGGTCTGTTGCTCCACTTCTGATCCAGCTCTCTGCTATGGCCTGGGAAAGCAGTGGAAGATGGTCCCAGTGCTTGGGCCCCTGCACCCAGGCCGGAGACCCGGAAGAATCTCTAGCTCCTGGCTTCAGATCGCCCCTGCTCTGCCCATTGAGTGGCCATTTGGGGAATGAACCAGTGGATGGAAGTCTCTCTCTCTCTCTCTCTCTCTACCTCTCTCTGTAACTCTACCTTTCAAATAAATGAAATAAATCTTAAAAAAAAAAAAAAAAAAAAAAAGAAGAAGATGGCCCCAAGTGCTTGGGCTTCTTCACCCGTGTGGGAGACCTAGAAGAAGTTTCTGGCTCCTGGCGTCAGATTGGCACAGCTGAGACTATTGCAACCATTCAGGGAGTGAACCAGTGGATGGAAGACCTTTCTCTGTGTGTCCCTCTCTGTCTATAGCTCTACCTCTCAAATAAATAAATAAACTTTAAAGAAGAAAAAAAAAAAAGCGCCAAGGAGAATTACCCAACCAGAGGGAAGAAAGTAAATGGCTCTTGGAGTAAGTTGTCACGGTAATAGGAGGCAGGCAGGTGGGGCATCACACTCAGCAGTGAGGACTTCATGGGCAAGACAGTGAAGCGGGTAATAACTGGATGAAAGTCAGAGTTTCAGGGAGTCTGATGTTGCTAGAGCAAAATAAAAGTACGCAGGTGTTAGGGGCAAGAGCTTTGGTAGCAGAGAAAAACACTGTCAAGAAATTCCTCAGATAGAGCAAAATAAAAGATAGCAGTTTAACAGAAGGTAAAGTATTGGGGCCAGAATTGCAGGATTGTGGCACAGCTGGCTGATCCACCCCATGCGCGCCCGCATCTGTATTACAGCACCAGGTTGAGACCCGGCTGCTCTGCTTTCAATCTAGCTTCCTGCTAATGCGCTTTGGAGCTGCTAATGGCTCAAGTGCTTGAGTCCCTGCCACCCACACAGCATACCCTGATGGAGTCCCTGGCTTCAGCCTGGCCCAGCCCCTGCTGCTGTAGCCATTTGGGCAATGAACCATTGGATAGAAAATACCTATCCCTCTTTCTCTCTCCTCCTCTACCACTCTGCCTTTTAAATAAGTAAATTAAAAAAAAAAAAAAAAAAGTGGCAAGGGGGCAAGTGATTTGGCTCAGCTGATTAAGCCACTGCTTGCATGCTTGCGACACCCATGTTGTGTTACCAGAGCACTGGTTCAAGTCCTGGCTGCTCTACTTCCCATCTAACTCCCTCCTAATGTACTACCTGGGAGGCAGCAGATGATGGCTCAAGTACTTGAATCCCTGCCATCCCTGTGGGAGACCCAGAAGGAGTTCCTGGCTTCTGGTTTTGGCCTGACCCAGTCTCCCTCTGTTCTCTCTCTCTCTCTCCCTCTCTTTCCCTCTCCCTCTCCCTCTCCCTCCCTCCCTCCTCCTCCCTCCCTCCCCCTCCCCCTCCCCCTCCCTCTTTCTCCCTCTCTCTCCCTCTCTCCCTCTCTCCCTCCCACTCTCCCACTCCCTCCCACTCTCCCTCTTTCCTCCATCCCTCTCTCTCTCCCTCCCTGTCTTTCAAATAAATAAATCTTTTTAAAAAATAAATAAATAAGGGATCCAAAGAAGAACCAGACTGCAAGAGAAGGATTGAAAGTAGGATGCCAGACTCAGTTACTTGCTGAATACCCACAGTGAATTCTGGGACCATTTTGTTCACAGAGCCAGCCAATGGGGCCACTTCCAAATTTCTTTGTTCCACCTTATTTCACTGCTTTACCTCAATTTCCTTGTCTGTTAGATAGGAATGATAATAATGAATGCTGGGCACAAGTAGGCATCTAGCAATGTTTGAATTTTTCCTCCATCTTTTCTCATGAGTCTTTGAATAGAAATATTAGATGATTCAGCATTATTCACAGTGAGCAACAGATGGCCATCGGTTGATAAGCAGATTTTTACACACACCAGAGTATCATTCACCATAACAATGAATGAAAGTCTGTCAGCAGCATGGATGGCATAGAGGACATTGTGTTAAGTGAATTAAGTCAGGCACAGAGAGAATACCACGTGTTCCCCCTTCTGTGGACAAGCTAAAAAGAAACAGAGACTGGACTAGTGGGAGCCGAAACCTGGAGAGGAGGGGAATGGAGAGAGGCTAGTTAACAGGTACAGGGGTACAGCTGAGTAGGAGGCATAACTTCCCATGTTCTACAGTACAGAGTAATGACTGTGGGTGGCTGGAATTAATTAAATATTTTGAAATAGTAGAGAGAATTTTAAGTGTTCCCCACACAGAAAAATGTTTCCCCTGAGCTCATCATGGCACATTGTAATGTGAACTTGTATTGAAAGGTCACATTGTGCCCCTAAATAAATACAACTACTGTGATCCATTTAAAAATAAATTATGTACTCAAATAAATTGACTGATGGTATTGGCTTTTTAACTTTCATCAGAATTTCCCGTTGTGTGAGATTCTGCAAGTAAAATGATAGACGATTGGGCCACACACAGGAGGGTGGAAATGGAATCGGCATAGAAGCTGTGGGATAGATTCTTTTCCTTTACTTTCTCATCCTTAGTGCTAGTTAAATAGGCAGAGATCCACGGTGGAGGGGAAAGACTGGGAGAGGGGAGAGACTGACTTAGGCACTGCATGGTGTGAACAGCTCTGTGCCCTAGTCCTGGCTGCTCCTCTTCTGATCCAGCTTCCTGCTTATGTGCCTGTGAAGGCAGTGCATGATTGGCCCACGTACTTGTGCCCCTGCTACCCATGTGGGAGACCAGGATGGAGCTCTTGGCTCCTGGCTTCAGCCTGGCCCAGACCTGGCTGTTGTGGCCATTTGGGGAATGAACTAGCAGATCTCGCTCTCTTTCTGTTTCTGCACCCCACCTCATACCCTACTCTTTCAAATAAATGTTTTTAAATGAGAATTATATTTAATAACAGTATTCATTTTCTCTACTTTATAGTTGGAAACAAGGTGTCATTCTTTCAGCCAGATGATGAAGTAGTTGGTAAGTTACAGTTCATTTTTCTGTATCATGTAATCTTTCACTGTCATCTCTTCTTTTATCCTGTGCAATTAATGCTCATTATAACTGCTCCATATGGGAATATTTTCTTCATTTTGGGAATTTGGCTTTCAAATATCCATTGATGAAGAAAATTAGGAGCTTATTCCCAGTTAGCAGATTTAAAACTTGCCAGTATTTATTTGAATATAGATCAGTGGTGTAGATAGAAAGTTGAGCCTGATTGAGGATGTCTTGGTGCAGCCCTTGTCTGGCAGGTTGCCAGGCTGTGGGTGCACTCCAGTCTAGAGAGAGGACGCGTGATGCACTTGAAGGCCGTGGACTCACTAGGCCATACTGAAGCTCCCTTGAGTCATACAGACCTCCTCCCTTGTTCCGCTTCCAGAACTAAAGATGGACTTAAAATGTTTAACCTATTCTTTGTTTCAAAAATTCACAATTAATACTATTTTTATAGATAAAACATACATGTATTTATACCTCTATCTTTGTATTCACACAGACATACACAGTTTATGGTCTGTGTAATAGTCTTTGAAAGCTCCATTTCTTCATGGAGCATACTCATAAACCTAGAAATTTTCTTAGTTTTACAGCATGCCTAAGGTTATTAAAGAATAGATTGTGGAAGTTTTCATCAGCTTTTTACATTGATTTGACTCCGGTATTTTCCTGGAGAATCAATGATTTCTTTCTTACCTCTTTTTTTTTTTCTGCCCAAGAAGTTAGTGGCATTCAATATACCTTTTATAAAAGGCAAAATATGGCCAGTGCTGCGGCTCACTTGGCTAATCCTCCACCTGCGGCATTGGCACCCTGGGTTCTAGTCCAGGTCGGGGCACCGGATTCTGTCCCAGTTGTTCCTCTTCCAGTCCAGCTCTCTGCTGTGGCCCGGGAGTGCAGTGGAGGATGGCCCAGGTGCTTGGGCCCTGTACTCGCATGGGAGACCAGGAGGAAGCACCTGACTCCTGGCTTTGGATCTGCGCAGCACGCCAGCCATAGCAGCCATTTGTGGGGTGAACCAACAGAAGGAAGACCTTTCTCTCTGTCTCTCTCTTACTGTCTAACTCTGCCTGTCAAAAAATAATAATTAATAAATAAATAAATGGCAAAATATGGCACCGGTGCTGTAGTGTATTTGGTAAAGCCGCCACCTGCAGTGCTGGCATCCCTTATGGACACCAGTTCGAGTCCCGACTGCTCCACTTCTGATCCAGCTCTCTGCTATGGCCTGGGAAAGCAGTAGAATATGGCTCAAGTCCTTGGGCCCCTGTACCCACATGGGAGACCCAGAACAAGCTCGTGGCTCCAGATCTGTGCAGCTCTAGCCATCACGGCCATTTGGGGAGTGCACCAGCAGATGGACGACCTCTCTCGCTGCCTCTCCTCTCTTTGTGTAACTCTGACTGTCAAATAAATAAATAAATATTTATAAAAGGCCAAAAATAAAATCAGGCTAGCTTAGGAGAAAAATGAGATTAAAAAAAAAAAGATTTATGTATTTATTTAAAATTTAGGGTTACAGAGAGAAAAGGAGAAACCAAGAGAGATCTTTGATCCACTGGTTCACTTCCCATATGACCACATTGGCCAGCACGGAGTTAGGCTAAACCTCAGAGCTGGGAGCTTCATCTGGGTCTCCCACATGGGTACAGGGCCCATCTTCTTGAGCCATCTTCTGCTGTTTTTCCCAGGCCATTAGCAAGGAGCTGCATTGGAAGTAGAACAGCTGGGATCAAACCCGTGTCCATGTGAGTTGCAGGTGTCACAGGCAGTGGCTTTATCCACTATGCCTTTGACTTGTTTCCCTTAAATTTCTTGTTCTAATTTTTAGGAATTTTGCCCCTGGATTCTGAAGACCCTGGACTTTGTGAAGTTGTTAGAGTGCATGAGCATTACTTGGGTATGTGGCAGTTCAGTTTTTTGGAACTCATGGAAGTCTGAGTTCACTGATCTGTGGTGTTTAATAATATTTTAATTTCCTTGACTACACTGTAAATGCTATACTGATTTTATATATATGTATATACATAAACACACTTCTAGCTTATAATTATTGTCTGTAAAATTCATATGCAGTGTAAACATTAACCTTTAAGTTTTACTACCACAGCTTATGTTAAAGAGCTTTGAAAAAGTTTCTTTCTTATCTCTGAAATTATATTCTGAATTAGAATTTTTAAATTCCTTACTCTTGATTATTAATTGAAAAAACGAAAAGTACAAAATCTAGACAATATAAGAGTCTGAGATAAGAATTGACACATTCTTTTTTTTTTTTTGCTAATATCTTTTGACCAATGTCCAATTTAACTGAAATGCTTACAGTCACTTAGTCTTTAAATATTTAAATTTAGAAATATACATGTATGCACACTTCATGAAACCATAGTAAAAATTGCAGCATTTATCCTAATTAATCAGGAAAAGCAAATTAAAACAATTTAAAGATAACTATTGAGTACCCGTGAGATTGACAAAGGAAGAGTGTGACTATCCCAAGTGTCGACAAGGATGCAGAGCAATGGAACCTTACATTTACCAGGATTATAAGTTGTTAAAAATGTGTTAGACAGCAGTTTAGCATTATATGATGTATCTAGTCCAGACCCGAATTCCAGGCATAGTTACGTGCCCAGGAGACACGCGCAAGAGTTCTAGCAGTGTGGTTTGTAATAGTGAACTGGAAACGGCACAAATGTCCATTGCCCGCAGACTGGATAATGAAGGAGACTCATAGAATGAATTTCTGTTCATCAGTGAAAATGAATAAATAAGAGACAAACATAGTAAAATGGATAAATCTCACAAACAATATTGAATGAAAAAAAGCCTGTCGTAGAAAGGTTCAAAAGGTCCCATAGCATTTGTTTGTATGAAGTTCAAAGACATACAGAATTAAACATGTGATTTAAAGGTATGAAGCAGGTGAAAGATGGAAAGTCGAGTGGAGGTGACCTCTGTAGGCCACCAGGGAGGAGGAGGCTGTGATGAGAGCTCATATACAAGACTTGGCCTGCTACCCTGTGTGCATTTCTTTTTTTTTTTTTTAAGATTTATTTTATTTATTAGAAAGTGGAGGGAGAGAGAGAGAGATCTTCCATCTACTGATCCACTCTCCAAATGGCCACAATGGCTAGGACTGGTCAGATAGGAGTCAGGACTTTCTTCTGGGGTCTCCCACATGGGTGCAAGGACCCAAGCACTTGAGCCATCTTCTGCTGTTTTCTCAGGCCATTAGCAGGGAGCTGGATCAGAATTCAAGCAGCAGGGACAAGAACCAGCACCCACGTGGGATGCTGGAATTACAGGTGGTAGTTTTATCTGCTATGCCACAGCACGGCCCCAGTACATATTTCTTACACTGGAATTCATTTTCTTATTCTTCATACCATATCTATACGTCAGAATATATTCTTTTGTGTTATTGAACTACTTCAAGATTAGGATTGAAATATTTCTTTGAAAGGCAGTAAAGAGAGCGGGAATGAAAGAGATCTTCCATCTGTTGGTTCACTTAGTCCAAACCCACCAAAATATGCAGAGAAAACAATTACAGATAATCCTTGAGAAAGAACACATAATAAAATATTTTTTTAAAAAGGGAATCTTTGAGTAAGAATACCAAGTTTGTCATAATGTGGCAAACTTAACACTGCATAAAAATATGAAAGCGTGAGTTTTTTCATCGCAAAGTTAGCAACTTTTCCTTTTTTTAACATCAAAAATAGACTTGTAATAAGAAAAATATAATAGAATAAACAAATAAAAGTGAACTTTTCCTCAAAAAACTAAAAATGGATTTACCATATGATCTAACTATCCCACTTCTAGGAATATACCCAAAGGAAGTGAAATCAACACATGAAGGTAATACCTGCACTCCCATGTTGATAGCAGCACAATTCACAACACCAGAGATAAGAAATAAATGTGGATGTCTGTCATCTGGTTACTGGATAAAGAAAATGTGGTATCTGGGGCTGGTGCTGTGGCATAGCAGGTAAAGCTGCTGCCTGCAGCGCGAGCATCCCATATGGGCGCCAGTTCAAGACCTGGCTGTCCACTTCCAATCCAGCTCTCTGCTATGGCCTGGGAAAGCAGTAGAAGATGGCCCAAGTCCTTGGGCCCCTGCACCCATGTGGGAGACCTGGAGGAAGCTCCTGGCTCCTGGCTTAAGACCGTTGCAGCCATTTGGGAGTGAACCATCTGACGGAAGATCTCTCTGTCCCTCCCTCTCTTTCTGCATCTCTCCCCTCTCTCTGTATCTCTCACTTGCAAATAAATAAATCTTCAAAAAAATTTTTCTCAAAAAAAAGAGAAAATGTGGTGTCTGCAGGTGCTGGGATATTACTCAGGCATAAAACAAGAATGAAATCCTGATATTTTTAACAAAATGGATGGAACTGGAGATCATTATACTAAGTGAAATAAGCCAGGTACAGAAAGACAAATATTATGTTTTATCTTATGTACAGAAGTTAATATATAGAGAATGTAGAAAAATTGTGTGGCGCCGGCGCCGCGGCTCACTAGGCTAATCCTCCGCCTAGCGGCACCGGCACACCGGGTTCTAGTCCCGGTTGGGGCGCCGGATTCTGTCCCGGTTGCCCCTCTTCCAGGCCAGCTCTCTGCTGTGGCCAGGGAGTGCAGTGGAGGATGGCCCAGGTGCTTGGGCCCTGCACCCCATGGGAGACCAGGAAAAGCACCTGGCTCCTGGCTCCTGCCATCGGATCAGCGCGCTGCACAGGCCGCAGCACGCCGGCCGCTGCGGCCATTGGAGGGTGAACCAACGGCAAAAGGAAGACCTTTCTCTCTGTCTCTCTCTCTCACTGTCCACTCTGCCTGTGAAAAAAAAAAAAAAATTGTGTGGCTATCATGTTATTTGGTATATAGTTATAAGTATTATCTTCACTGAATATACATACAATACATGCTTCTTTCCTCATTTTATGGTCGTTGTCATGAATCCCACATTTTGTGATGTTAATATCTTTTGTTTAAAGATTTATTTTATTTATTTTGAAGGCAGAGTTGCAGAGAGACAGATATTTTCCCTCCGCTGGTGCACTCCCCAAATGGCCACAATAGCTCGGTCTGGACCAGGCCAAAACAGGAGCCAGGAGCTTCATCTGAGTCTCCCATGTGCAGGGCAAAAAATAGTATATATGTGTATGTATATAATATCTATATCTGGGGGCCGGCGCTGTGGCACAATGAGTTAAAGCCCTGGCCTGAAGCGCTGACATCCCATATGGGCACCGGTCCTAGTCCCGGCTGCTCCTCTTCTGATCCAGCTCTCCGCTATGGCCTGAGAAATCAGTAGAAGATGGCCCAAGTCCTTGGGCCCCTGCACCCACGTGGGAGACCCAGAAGAAACTCTTGGCTTCAGATAGGTGCAGCTCAGGCCATTGCGGCCATCTGGGGAGTGAACCAACGGATGGAAGACCTCTCTCTGTGTCTCTACCTCTCTCTGTAACTCTTTCAAATAAATAAAATAAATCTTTTAAAAAATAATATCTATATCTGAAGTGATTAGGCAAACTGTTAAAAAATTTTAAAACTTAATGCTGGTGCTATAGCATAGCAAGTAACCTGGGGTGCTGGCATCGCACTTGGGTGCCAGTTTGAGTCCCAGCTGTTCTACTTCCAATCCAACTCCCTGCTAATGTGTCTGGGAAAAGCAGCAGAGGATGGTCCAAATGTTTGGACCCTTGCCAGCCACGTGAGAGACCCATATGAAGCTCCTGGCTCCTGGCTTCTGGCTTCTGCTTTCAGCCCTGCCAAGCCCTGGTTGTTGTAGCCATTTGAGGAGTGAACCAGTGGATGAAAGATTCCCTCTCTCTCTTTCTCTCTCCTCTCTCCCTCTCTCTCCCCCTCCCTCCCTTCCTCCCTCCCCCCCCCCTCTGTCTCTCTCTGTGCATCTCCTTTTCCCTCTAACTCTTCCTTTCAAAGAAATAAATAAACCTTTAAAAATTTGTTAAACCTTAACATTATATTTTTAAAGATTTATTTATTTATTTGATTTATTTGAAAGTCAGAGTTACACAGAGAGAGAAGGAGGGAGGGAGAGGGAGAGGGAGAGAGAGGTCTTCCATCTGCTGGTTCACTCCCCAATTGGCCAAAACAGCCGGAGCTGTGCCAATCTGAAGCCAGGAGCCAGGAGCTTCTTCTGGGTCTCCATTTGGGTGCAGGGGCCCAAGGACTTGGGTCATCTTCTACTGCTTTCCCAGGCCATAGCAGAGAGCTGGATAGGAAGTGGAGCACCCGGGACTCCAACCGGCGCCCATATGGGATGCCGGCACTGTAGATGGTGGCTTTACCCACGAAGCCACAGCGCCGGCCCCAAACCTTAACATTCTAAAAATACATAAAAATAAATAAAAGAAGTACTTTAAGAATGACCACTGACAGCGTGGCCTGCAGGTGATGACTAGGTGCCATGACAGATGTAAAAGAGCATGCCGAACCAGAGCGTCTGCAGCTCCAACATTTGTGAAAAGAGAAATAATCTCAGTTTCATTCCCTGAAACTTTTCTGGGAGAAAGTTACAGTTTACCACAACTCTGTTTTACTTCCTACTAATTCTTCAGTGATTGTTTAATGACAGCCCAGCACTCGGTCACCTACAACTCGAATACATCTAGCCCTTCACCAAACCACAAAACCACTTTCTAAATGACTGCCCACGCGTGTCATTACCCTGTTGCACTGTACGAAGGACTGGGTTTCAAAGCTGACTGGGACGTTCTTTCAGCTTCTTTCTACTTCTGGTTTTTAAACCATTCTGTCAAACATAAAAGCAGCTTTTTTTTTTCTTTCAAAATTTGGCATACATTTTTATTTTTCCTTCTATGCTGACATGGAGGAATAAATGAAAGAGGAAAAAGATTTTTTTAAAAA